GTACTCCTGCTTCTTCTTGGGCATGGAAGAGTATCTGCTCGGTTAAGGAGGTGGTGGCTAATTGTTGGTGTTGGAGGGTAGTTAATGGCTACAAAATTAATATTTGGACAGATTCGTGGTTACTAGATTCATCACATCCTTTTGTCACATCACAACAGCCTCCCTTTAGTCATCTCAAAAGGTTTCAGATTGATCTTTCAAGAGTCAAAACAATGGAACCTTTCTTTAATCCAGAATCTATTCAACCCCAAAGATGCAGAGCTCATTGTGCAAATTCCTATGCTCTTTTCTCAACCTTCAGATTTTAAGATTTGGTGAGCCACTTCAATTGGGTCTTTTACCGTAAAAAGTGCTTATAAGGCCATTGTTTCCTTGTCCTCCCCGCTAACCCCTACAATTTGCAAACCTGAAAGCAGCCATATTCCGGAATTCAAGCCCTCATGGAAGGATTTTTGGTCAATTCCAACTTGGAGGCGAATTAATTTCTTTCTTTGGTTATGCGCTCGTGATCGGCTCCCTACTCTGATGAATTTGAGGAAAAAGAATATGGTGGACAGCCCTTTATGTAGAGTTTGCGGAAGGGAAGATGAATCATCTCTCCATCTTTTCTTTCTCTGTCCTGATGCTCAGATTGTTTGGAAGTTGTGTCCTTTTCGTTTTGACTTCTCCTTTTTCACTTGTAAGTCTTGGAATCAGGTGTGGTCTCTGTTGTCTAAGAGTTGGAAGAGTGTGCCCAATTCTGGTGCTCATTTTAGCCTTGCGTTGTTCAGTTGTTGGGAAATCTGGAAGAGTAGGAATGATTGGGGTTTCGACTCCATTAAGAGGGAGCCTATAAATATTTTATATCAAGCTATGTACCATTTTTGGGAATTCTCAACAGTTTTTACACAGGACTTGAACCTTCATCCAACATTAATTCCTAGAACCAAACCGATTCATTGGTGTATTCCTCATCGGGGGAGTTTCAAACTTAATTTCGATGCAGCATTGTGTAAATTTTCAAAGGAAGTTGGGGGTGGTATTATTCTGCGGGATGATAAAGGTCTACCCATTCGGGTGGCCACTTGTTATTTCACGGGGATTTCTAATCCAGAGGTTGCGGAGGCTCGTATTATCAAAGAATATCTTGTTCTTTTATCCTCATGGGGATATAGCCCAATAGTGGTAGAGGGGGACTGCGCCAATGTTCTTAATTCTTCGCCTTCTTTCTTTTATCTGCTTAGGTGTTAAGAGGATATCAAACTCTTTAGTCGTTCTATCCCAGATTTATCCCTGGCCTGGACTCCTCGTTCATGCAATGCCGTGGCTCACCAACTTAGTCAATGGGCTCTGTCTCAAAAGTGTTTTGATCTCCAATTGTCTGTTTAGCCCCTTTGGCTTCGGCAAGCCAATGAGGCCGATTTGTCTTTTGTTGGTTTGGGCGTTTCTGGCCCTGTTTTGTAGCCTTTTCTGTTTCTGTTTGGTGACAAAAAAACAAAAAAAATAAAAAAATAAAAAAAAAATAAAAATCCGAATAGAGTCAACCTCATGAATTCTCATTTTTCCATTCTATTCTATTACAAGTTATATCACCTCTTATATATTTTTTTAAGGATAAATTGCACTGACACCCCATGAGGTATTGGTCAACGTCACTCAGTAGATGGTCAATGGATTTTTTTACATTGACACCCCTTTAGACCTCTGAAACCATATGAAATTATATTTTTACCCTTTAACTTGTCAATAACTCTATTTAAATAATAAAATTACAAGTTTAACCTCCTAACTAAATTTAATGGACCAAACAAACCTCTTCATCTCTTCTACACATATAGATATGGTTTATATATAATAATACTAATACCACCATAAATACCACCACAACATAAAAATAAAAAAATAAAAAAAATTAATTTTTTATTTTTTTATTTTTAAAATAGCTAGATAACTTTACACCACCATAACTACCAACACAACATAAAAATAAAAATAAAAGAAAAATAACTTTTATTTTATTTTATTTTTATTTTTTAAATAGCCAGTACACCACCACCGCAACATAAAAATAAAAAATAAAAAAAGAAATAAAAATAAAAATAGCCATAGGCAACCTAGACCCACCACAACATGACCAAAAAAAAAAAAAAAAGAGCCATGTACGAGATTGGAAAGAGAGAGTGAGTATCGGCGGCTAGGTACTAACATGAATTAAAAAAAAAAAAAAGTTAAAAATTAAGGTAAAGAAAGAGGCGTAATGATGAAGGTAGTTTTATCAATTAACATGACTGATTTTGTAAATGAATTGAATTAAATAATAAGGGAAAAATATGACATTTGAAACCACATGGGCTGTCATTGTTAAAAAAGCCATTGATCAGTATCTGAGTGACATTGACCGAAATCTCAAAAAGTGTCAATGCAATGCACCTTTTTTTTTAAAGTCAATTTCTAATAACTTTCATCCCAAATTAGTTTGGCCATGCACTTGAACTTGTGCCCTGAGACCACCAAAGAACTTTTCCTGCCCACCTGATCTTCTTTTCCAGTCAATTTCAACATCGATTAGTCGTCGGGGCCATCTCTAATGCCTAATCAGTTGTGCCAGGTACTAGTATATTTAAGCATCTAACAATGTGCCCGGTAAGGAATGAGGTTCTTTCTCAGTTCTGCTTGGATTGCTCTCCTAATAGATATTGTTCCAAACTCTCAATTAATATAATCTCTCAAGATGCAGAGTAGAGATTCTCGTAGATTTTCTATTCTTAAGAGTTTTCTGGCTACTTATACTGCTCCTATATGGACGTAATTGTATCCTTTGTTTTGATCTTTAGCAAGTAACTTCATGTTTGTTTCTTCATTTGTGATTGAATCTCGACCTTTCTGAATCTATATATTGGTCTCAGGTCAGAATATAGAATGTCTCACAAACAAATTTCAATATACTCGTAAGTGGATTTTTATGATTGTAAAATTTTAAAGATAAGAGTTAAGAGCTTGAATTTTTATATAAATATATGTTCAGAAATCAAACACATGCAAATTATTCATTCAAGAAATAGCGTATTTGAGTATTGCAGTTTTGTAGGTTGGTGGCATTATTTAAAAAAAAAAAGAAGAAGAAGAAGAAGAAGAAGAAGAAGAAGAAGAAGAAGAAGTTATTACTTATTCATCAAGCCGTGTTAGGGTGAGGATGTTTATTGTTATTGTTCAAAGGTAAGAAACCCTATTTTAATGGAAAGCACACTCACGCGAGTTATTGTATGGCAATAACTAGTGATCATTTTCGTAAAAACTATCCAAAATTTTTAGTCTTATAGTTCGGTTACAAATTGATAAATATAGGTGGATTGAGATCTTAAAAAAACCAATCTGATCTGCTTATATATATTTAGTAAAACTTAAAAGAATAAATCCAATCCGTTTATATATATACCACATTCATTTTTAAAAGGATAAGAAAGTTACTATTTAAGTCTAGGGATATCCTTCCGAAATATTTCATTTCCTTTTCTTTCCTTCCAACCATTTATGCCCAACACAATTTTTTAATCACCCTTCATCACCTTTCCTTTCCTTTCCTTTCCTACCTTTTCCATTGCACCAAACTGACCCTTAGCTCCACACACACACACACACACACACTCTCTCTCTCTCTCCTCTCTTTCTTTCACATTCACAACTGTTTGCCACAACCTGTGTGTTTCGGCGTGGTGAATTCTGGGTAGTCAATGGACTATGGGCCTACTAAGTAGATGGGCTTGGAATGTCTTTTTTGCAAACCATAAAATTGTACAAACAAAGTTGGGTTGGGCTGGACTGGACTGGTTTGGGCAAAGTTTAGTTATGAACTTAAATGAAAATTAATGGCCTTTTTTTTTTTTTTCTAAAATAAATAACCTTCTAAAAATATTATTTATGGCTTACAATCACATCTTATAATATGTTCTCAAACTCAAAACGAGCATATAAACCACCCTCTGGTTGAGAACATGTTGAAATACTGTGCGCCTTCCCACAACAATATATAGTTAATTTTTATTTTATATATATATATATAAAATAATTTCTATATAATACCCTCCTAAAATTTTAAATTCTGAAGTTATTTTTTTTTATTTATATTTTTTCTCGGTCTTCAAATTCCTTTGGTTCACTTAACAAAAAAAAAAAAAAAAAGGTTAAATTTTCCTTTCCCTATTAAACTCTAATTTTTCTCCTTTGATTATATGTGTATTTATTTTCTTAACGATATCACTGATTATATATGCTATACTTAGCTTTTGGTTATATGTGCATTTATCTTCTTAGGGATATCGTTGTGTGCTTATAGCCACACATTTCCTTGGATTCGATCCTACTTATCACTGTACAGTTTTAATAAAGTGATTGTAGAAAATAAATTATTTTTATACGGAGTGCATTCACAACTAAAAAAAAAAAAAAAAAAGATTAAATTTTCCTTTCCCAATTAAACTCTAATTTTTCTCCTTTGATCCTGATTTGAACAATCTATATTTATTATGTTACTTAAATTTTCTCCCCTTGCTAATTCTAATCCTGATTCTGCCAAGCCTGTATCTTTCAGATGAGAGATGCTTTCTTCAAGTAAAGACTGTATGTGGACTATGTGTCCATACATATAAATATATATATATACACACACATCAAATCTTTTAGATGACACATACATCAAATCTTTTCGCCTGGTGGTTCTGTGGCTCACTTTTAAATTCAGGGATCAATTAAAAGATATGACAAGGGATAGGCCAATAGGCCAGTTGTTTGTTATAATTCTCAAACTCAACTAATGAATGGTATTCAACTAAAACTTTACATAAATTAGGGTAACGTACAAATATCATGATCCACATACTGCTTTTTTTGCTGAAGCACATGCACACAAATGCATACTTCAATTTAGATATTAGTTGAAAGAAATTCTCAATCGGACCACTAGATCATTTCGACTTTATTTTTTATTTTTTATTTTTTATAAAATATAAAAAAAAATTACTGCATGCATCAAGAAGTTATTATTACTGCTCAAGTATAAATTGAGCATAAGAGGTCCGATGGCATATCATTCAGAAATTTGTACAAAATACAATGCAAGTAATATGCAGAACAATTTTGAGAAAAGGAGTCGCATAGGCCGACAGGTTTTCCTATCTGGCCCTCTCAATGAGTAAATTACCTAAACCACAAATCCTATATTGTACCTTTGTCACCGTTATCATCAATAGCCTACGTAGGCGACTAACTTCTCACAAATTCTGCACGAAAGAAAAGTAGTAATTAGTTAACTAGAAACACATTACTTATGACTATGGAACTGTCAAACTTCCACAAAAATGTATATATACATGTTATTCTAGATTACAATTCAAAGCTCTCTCTGAAACCACGTAAATTGCCAGCAGGCTAACACACGTAATGTGCATCATCCAAATCAACCTTTCAACTAGGAACTCCCTGTTAAATCTAATAAATTGAGATGATACAATAAGGTTGCGCCATTTTGACCTGAAGGTCACGAATTCGAAACAAGAAAGCAGTTTCTCTGCATGCTCTACCCAGGCCTTGCAATGATGGAAACCTCCTGCACTGGGTTTGGCCTATTTTTATTTTTATTTTTATTTTTTAGGTGTGCCAAATTGCCCGCGAACAAAATTACATGGATGTCCATAAACCTTCTTTATTTAAGTCAGCAAAACCCTGGCCAGAGTGATATTCAACCTTACCTTCCCAACCAGTCATAATCATCAGATAATCTGCATAATATCAGTAAAACTAAGGAACAAGAAAATATTCAAAATCTAAATTAAAAATCAATAGACCTGGTTCTGATTCCTCTCTCAGGAACTTCTTAACTACATGAGAACACACTGTAAACCATATTGCCACATGATCGCATTGCTAGTTAAATGATTAAAAGATTTTGCACAAAAAATTAACCTGGAAAGGGAGATATTATGGAACTTGTGGAAATACTAAATGAGATTTGCTATCGTTTCTTATAAAATATCATTACCAGGAAAAGCAGCAAAGAGTTCCTTTAACCCAAAACTCCATTGTGTCCAGGACATATATCTCAAGCACCTTATTGCCTTATGATTGATATGTAGAAAATAAGAAGAAAAACGCGGGGGTTTAGAACTCATATTTTAAAGGAATTGAACTCATCCCCAATGACACAGGTAGAATTGCTTCTGGTCAAAGTTCAAGGCAATGTTCGTTCCCTCCGTATAGGGACCCTTGCATAGAGATATCAGCAAGAGGAAGAACCTTTGTGGCTGGGAATGGAGGAGGATCAACTATTCTATCGTACAAACAATATACAAGAAGTTAACAGGCTGTACAAACTATATGCAGGACAATTCTTGTACAGTTATTATGTTATATTCTTATATACATGCATAATAGGCTCCCTGTTGTTTTACTACACCAATTTCCTGTACTCTAATGGTGACTTCTGAAGGATTGGAAGCAGTTTTGTAACTTTTGTTTCCTTACATAAACTGATATTAATACTTTCATTCTCTTACCTTTAGTTGCAATCAAATGTAACATAAGGGAAATAGTCCAGACATGCGACAGATAAAGAAACCTTAGAATTCATTGTTAGGTGCCTTATCTTTTAAACAAAACAAGAATTCTTTATTGAAACTATAGGTAGCATCAGATGCCCGCATGCATATCTGCAACGGAAGTACAACTAATATCAGAACAAAATACTACCAGTAATGGGCAGACTCATTGTTACAATGTTAGTAGTTGCGATTATCAGCCTAGAAGTAGAAAAATAAGATTCATCAAATTGCTCCATCATTAGAATGCATATTATCCTAAACTGCAGCAGTGGTTTAGGGCTTCCATTGGTTCTAAATACATGTATATATATAGCTCCACAGTACAATAAGTTTGACCCTCACTTTATTTTTTACTGCACATGGCATTCAATCTGGTAGCCTTATTCGTATTACTACTATTACCTAATTATTGGACTGACACAGATCCTTCAGTTGAAGAAGGAAGATATTAAAGTACTATTTACACTAAAAACCAACTTCACAGAATGAAAATCCCTATTACTTCAAAATCCATAAAGCAACCATTTTTCTCCCTTATCTATATATATATATATATATATATATATATATATATATATTTTAAAATTAGGACCTTTTAGTGAAATGTAAACAAGTCTTCAAGGAACCAAAACAAAGGAAAGTTCCAGAACATATTTGGGTAGATTTTATTCAGTACACCTTACAAATTTATGCAAATTGTAGAGAAATTATTACATGCCCCGGGACCATTGGTCTGGAACTACTCACTAGATGACACATAAGTAAATGCATTAATTTTATGTCGATTTTATTTCACTTTTTACTTGTCGGTCACCTAGTGATTGATTGGGACTAATGGTCTCAAAACCTTACAATAATTTGTGAATTGTAAGCTATCACCTGATTCTTTATGCAAGCAAACTGCATAGTGAAAAGTAAGAACTCACAGACACTTTGCTTTGCCCTCGCCGGGCCTTGAATTCCTCCTCTCCTCTTTGAGAATGTAATTACAATTACTAAAATTAACAACTTGAAAACAAAATATTGAATAATAACTTGTCTCATTTTTACTCTCTACCTACTCCAACAACCAAACTTTACCTAATTTATCAATTAAAACCCATTCAAATTCAACAAGAAACAAAACCCTATTCATTCAATACACAAAATAACCATGTAGTCATTCAAAATAGAACATCAAATTGCACATACATATAAATAGAATCGAAAAATGAAAAAAACCCTAATTCCATTTCGTTTTGGGTGTTACCTCCTAGACTACTTCTTCTTGCCGCCTTTGGCCGCGCCGGACTTGCGCTTGGGAGGCAGAATAATCTCGCCCTTGAGGACAGGGATTTCCATAATCTGCGTAAGCCCACCGTACTTCTTCCGGAACTTCTCGACCTGATCGTCGTCTAGGAGCAGCGCCGAGCGGTTCCCGAGGTAGAAGGGGTGGTTTCCGGACCACACGTCCACCACGTACTCCTTCCTGGTCCCTCCGGTGGTCAGTACAAGTTCGCCATTGCAGTACACCTTCGAGTCCTCGTAGAATTTTGGGTGTATGTCCTTTTTCCTGCAAGTCCATTGCGGACGATTGGAGCTCACTGCACTCACCTGAATTAATTGCAAGTAAAGTGAAACACAATATAAATATATATATATATATATATATATATATAGAAACAGATTTGATTAGAGAAATTGGGGAGAGAAATTTACCTTCTTGAGAGAGAGAGTCGGAGGAGGAGGGACGTTTGTTTGCAGGAATGTGTTGGATAGAGTTAGCGCCATTTTCTGACTGCTTGTGTGTGTGTGTGTTGTGTGTGTGCGTGTGAGGAAAGAGGGATGAAGAAGCTGTGAATTGGAGACGAGGATAAGTGGTTGTGGTGACTGGTGGGGGAAGGGTTAAGATTACGGTAATACCCCTACTTGAGATTTCAAATGACGATGATGAACTTTTCGTTGTTGGAGTTGGGTTGGGCTGAATTGCTCCATGTGTGTGGACCAACCTATAATTGGGCTCGTGCTGGATTAGTGTTGGACATGAAATCCTATGTCCTCCCCACTTTTACGGAGCATTGAAATGATCCTTTGAATTTTAAAATTAGAGTAAATTTAGTTGATTTGATTTGATTTGAAATTCAAAAAAATTTCAGTTGATTTGAACTAAAAAAAATTTAATTTTAAATTTAAAGTGTCCATTCAGTACTTTCAAACACATCATAAATACATTTTAAATCAATAAATGCAATATGAGCATTATTGTTGTCACCGATTATTGAGTGTAGTTAATTTTGTCATTTCATAGGCTATATTCACCCAACATATTAAAACGTAAAGTGTAAAGTACATCACATATGTAATACTTTACATCACAAATGTAATAACCATCAAACAAGTATGTAACACTCATGCAACATTAAAGTTACAACACTCCTACAATGCATTACATTATGTTCTAACGTCATAACACAATTTTATTCAACATTATATAAGTGTTGGCAGTTGCGTTGTCGATTTAAAATTATTATATCGTCGATTTAAAGTTATTAAATTGTCGAGTAAAGTGTGTTGAACCTAAAATCACAAATAAGATAATCTTGATTCTTAAGATGTTTCTTGCATGTGATTTTTTATTTTTATTTTTTTATATGTAAAGAAATATAAATAAAAATTGTGATAATTATTCATATGCTAATACTTTGTTTCCAATCACTTGGCTAGACCAAATGCCGTTGGGTTTAATTTTGCTTTAAAACTTGTTTATTTTTATAGATTTTAAATAAATAAAAAATTGAAATCAGCATAAAATTGTTCGTTGCCGGCTTTTTTAAATACCTTTTATTTGTTTGAAAAATAAAGTTAAAGAAATACATTAGTTTTAGGGCATGTTCACTTATTAACTCCTACTTCTACTTTGTAAGAAAGTAAAATAATGATTATGATTTTTTAGGGTGAAATAGAAAAAAAAAAATGAGAGTGATGGGTGACAAACAAATGAAGGCTATAGTGATAGAAATTACTTCTTATCTATAGGACAGAAAGTAGAAAAAATGAGAATGATGGGTGAGTAGAAAAAGAAGGCTATAGTGACAGAAATTACTTCCTAAAAGTAGAGAAATTAACAAATCCTCAATCTCTTTTCTTCATTAAAAGAGGAATTACTTTCTTAAAGTTAAAAAAATAAAATTATATTAGTAAACACGATTTGTATTTTTATTTTAAATTTTTAAGAATTGACAATAAAAAATACGAAATAAAAATGTTAGTGAATATGTAGAGCACGATGGTTTGAGCAATTGTTCCTCCAAAATTGTTTTAAGAGAATAAATCAAATAGGTGACATTTCACCATTTTTATCCTCCTTTTTGTCGCCACAAAGAAGTATTGAGATATATATCATCATTCAGTACAAAATTTATCCATGCAAATTATGCAATATAATTCTTAACCCCTATTTTCTTTGCTAATCATAATATTTTATAAAAGAAATGTTAATAGGAATACAGATAACATAAAATTATTTTTTTTGTATATAAAAATTACAATTTATTATTTTTATATTATCGTATTCGTTTCCATTTTTTTTTTTTTTTTTTAATTTATCGTATCCACCTATGTTGTGTGGTTTCTGTGTCATGTATTGGTATCCATGTTCAATGTCTAGTTACAGATTAAAGTGTGGAGAGCATCCAGGGACTATTAAAATAATGCATGGACAACTCTCTTAAATAGGAAAAGTCATGTTTAAATATTTGGGTAAAGTGCGCAAAAAAAGAAACTCTTAAAGTATTACCTTTTTGTAAATAATCGTCCTGAACTTCAAATTACCCTATAATCTATTAATTTATTACAATTAAGGATAAACCCAAAGGCTATTATCATTTCTTATTAAATTTGTCATTTCTTATTAAATTATATTTATTATCTTTTCTCTTATCTAAATGTTAGTTTTACCATTTACCTTAATTTTAATTTATTATAAATATGAAGAAAAAAAAATTATATCTACCATTTTCTAAAATGATTAACTTATTATTAAAAATTTACTATTTATAATAAACTTATTATACTCAACTTAAACTTTTTTAATGTAAATTAAATAAAAAAAAAAAAGAGCTCCTTTATCATACAATATATTCATGAAAAATTAATAAACTACTTAAATAAATAAATAAACAAAACCTTCTTTTTCATGCAATAAGTTCATGAAAAATTAAGAAATTACTTAAATTTTAAAAAAATTTCTACTTAAAAAAATTAAATTTAAACAATTAATTTTTAAACATAAAGGCAATTTTATGCAAAATTAATGGAGAATATGTCATCAAATTAGTTTGAATTTTTTTTTTCATAATTTATTTCAATAAGAAAAATTGTTTTAAATATAATTCAAGAAGAAATGGTGTTATGGATTTAATGAAAAATAGTCTAAGTATCGGGACATTTTGCAACAAAATGTGATAGTTTAGGGGCCATTACGCACAAAATATACTTTAAGAGGATTATTTGCAAATTTAAACATAGTTTAGGGGTTTTTTTTACACTTTACCCTAAATATTTTGAAAAGCATTAAATTTTGGTGATTGAAATTGAAAATTTGTGCTTTTACCCTAAATATTTTGAAAAACATTAAATTTTGGTGATTGAAATTGAAAATTTTTGCTTTATGTTGACCTTAAACTTAATAAAGTGTAAATAGTGACCAAACTTGAAAAATAATTGCCAATGAGTGACCATGTAATTTTAATATTCAAAATACCATTCCTTCTATCAACAGAACCCTAATTCATTCTTATTGTTCTTCAACCCCACCCCTAAATATTAGAAGTTTCAAGAGTCATAATATTAATTTACTTTATTATCATGACTAGTTTAGTCAAAATTTAAGAATTGCTATCAATTTTGTTCATGAATTGAATCAAACCACTTATGCTATGTGTTGATACCAAAAATTTACACGCTCTGGAGTCTGTGACAATTCCTGCAAGACAAGAGAAGTGATGACCGGTGTGGTGCCGGCCGGATGCACTCCGACGGTCAAGTTAGTACTCGACGATTAAATATCCGATAAGGATTCAATATGAAATTTATGGCGTACCTTTTTAGGTTGACTAATCCTTTCTTTTATAGAAGCATTAATGGTAGTAGTTTTTCAAGCGAGATTCTCCCTGATCCAAGATGATATCGTTCCCTTCTTACAGGAATGGTAACTCTAGTTACATGTGGTATTATAATTCCATGGAGATTTTGGGTAAGATAAATCCCTTACCCTTATCTTATTTCTCTTTTGACTTTGAGCTGCCTATTATTTTTATCCTTATCACTACGTTTGGTATGCAGGAATGAAATAGAATGGAATACTCATTCCAACCATTTAGTTGTTTGGTGTGCAGGAATGGAATGGAATGACCATTCCAATGGAACAAAAATCCATTTCAGGGAATGAAATCCATTCCATTAGTAAACCTATGGAATGGCCATTCCATTTCTTAGTAAGATAAAATATTTTTGTAATATTCCCAATAAGCCCTTAATCACATTCCAATAAGACAAAAATCTTTCGCATTCATCAAAAATCTTTCACATTCCATTTTTCATGTTTATCGGCTTCTTTATTAGACGTGATAAAGGTCTTTTATCTTCCCTCTCTTCTGAACATACCTATAGCTGTCATTGACAAAAAAGTTGCAGGACTTTCAACCAAATTACAAGTATTAATTTCTTTGTTTATTTATTTTTGATAAGTAAGTATTAAATCTCTTTTATCTTCTGAGTATATCACTTTTTTATTTTATTTATTTATTTATTTTTTTGTGTCTTTGTGTTAAAATATTTGTGTAATCATCTGGAACCAAAAGGTCAAGTTCATCGTTGGATAATTGGAGAACCTTGCTTGATTAGAATTTTATCAAAACTAGAATTTTCAAGAAATCTACAATAAAAAAAATTAAAAAAAAAAAAAATTACACAAGTACTTGGAAATATTACCAGGTTTTTTTGTTGGGTTGATGATTTATTTATTTCCTTAAGTTTATTTGAGTTGATCTTATGGTGCACGATTTTTTATATATTATTAAGATTGATATATCATTATATATATATGTAATTTTTTAGCCTTTACATCAATTTCTTAGATTAAATATTCAATCATGGTGACTTGGTTTAGTTATAATTTTTTTATTTTTCTTTCCTCCACTGAAAAGGGCATTTTTGAGAAAATGCATTCCCTTTCAGATTTAATGATACTCCACCAAATAATAAAATAGTAATAATCATTCTATTCCATAACGATTCACTGTGTCACACCAAACATTAGAATGGTAATATTCATTCAATTTCATTCTCATTCTCAATCCATTCCAAATTTCATTCAATTCCATTCATGTACACCAAACGTAGCATTATGAATTCAAATGAGTTTATACTTCACTTGTGAATGATGTGATATATATGTTTAGAATTAAACAAATTTTGAAAGTAATTAATCCGGAGGATTATTATATTTGGATTCATGATTATCATATCATGGATCACCCTTTATCATTTTTTAATTACTGGGAAAAAATCTAACAATTTGATCCTTTCGTGGATTAATCCTCGTTGCTGCAATGGCCTTGCTCACATGGTTGGCCAATAGTATAAGGTCAAGTCCAATGGGGCTCGTGAAACCCATTTTCCATAAAGCCCAACCGAAGTCTGGAGTCCCAATCAAGTCCAGTGGGGTCGCCCACTTTTTGGGTCTCATGGGTGGCGACCTAGCTAGCGATCGCGGGCTTGAGCATGCCGGCCTGCAAGCAATTATTATTATTATTATTATTTTTTTGGGAAAAAAAAAACAGGCAGAGCACTGTGCATAAGGGCCTGTTTGGG